ATAGCCAGGTAGGAAAATAATAGGATCCTATCTATAATGCCTCAGCTCTGCAGTAGAAGACATTATTCTTTTGCAAATGAAGAAAATATTGCCTTCTGAGCATGTGTTTTGCACTATTTTATCATCTTCTCCAACTAGAACATTTGAACCAATAGATACAGGACTCACACTGACATGCCTAGTATATCCCCTCCTTATTTATAGTGTGTCCTAAAGGTTTCAAATCAAGGTGGATGAATAATCTTCAAAAACTGTAAGATAATATATAAATGATGGCAATAGTGTGAATATTGTAAAAATTATACAGCACCCCCAATGTGCAAGAATCCTTCTAAAGAGAAGGAAAAAGGACATAAGCTGGAAGCATTTGAGACTAGTGAGCAAAAGATAGCAGACTTATTGGAGTCAACTTGTGTTTAACAAAAAAACATACGAATTCAAATTAAAAACAAATTAAGTGCAGGTTATAATTTATCTTGTTTTATGACTACATAAAAATAACACTGAGCCCTTCTTATGGAAAAATTGTTCACAAGCATGTGACTCACATTTGGTGATAGTATAAGCCACCTTATTGTCTTCAACTTTTATTTTTCCTCTACCTGAGTTTCCTTCCTTTCTTATTTTTGTTGTATGTTGTTTGGATCTTTATTTATAAGCTCTTTAAATTCTTTTGGGGCAAGTTGAAAATAAAGAAGCCCTCACTCTGGTAAAATGGGTTATCCGTAGGGGGAGTGGGGAGTATTCTCTTAGTGAGGTATAGCCAGCCTGAACTCTCCAGAAGAGTTTAGAAACACTCTCTTAAGTGCTAATGTCAGCACAGGGAAGCAAAGATTTCTAAACATACTATCCAGGGGTCCAGACCAAAGAAAGAATCTCCAGTTGGGGCCAGTTGGTTAATCAGTACCTGAGCTTTTGATCAGGAGTTTTGGTGAAAACTCAGCAAACAGATTATGGCATTCCCTCCCATCACTGGACTGAGACTGACCAAAAAATGTTTCTGACAGCTAAGGAGTGTTAGATCCAGGTCCTACATTTGATCTGTTTCAGTATTTTAGCAAATAATTGTACTGAAGAGAATATGTTTTCATTGGTATAATATCCAGATAAGGCTAATGATTCAAGGTTCATAACTAACAAAATTAGCTCAGTTATGGAATTAAATCTGATTATCCTAATTGGCAAACAAAAGCTTGAAATCATTACTATATTAGCACTTTATTCAGATTTGGTGCAGTTATTTTTGCATCCAATCCAGCATTGTCTATTTAATATCAGAAAAAAACATAATCCAATACATTAAATTAATATTAATTTCACTCTTATTATCTTATAGATTTTTAATATTGAATTTATAAATGCATTTTAATTAACAGTTACATTAAAAAGAATAAAAATTAACACCTAGTTTTACATTTGTAAATACATAAAATTATAAATTTTACAGTTCAGCACCAGGAATCTGAGAATTTTATTCCTGTAAAGGAAAAAAGAAGAACCCATTCTTAAAAGTTATTTGCATTTTAATTAGGGGCTTTTAGAGGGTGAAAGGTCTTCTTGAATCAAAGAAATGATATTCTAAGCCTGAAAATGAAACTACTGTAATAAATAGTGAAGGAGAGCTCTATCATGCCAACCACAAAGTATGTTTATGGGACTCCACCTATTCAGTATCATAGCACACATGTGAGAGAGAGAGAGAGTGTGTGTGTGTGTGTGTGTGTGCGTAAAACTGTTAGAAACATAATACCTCAGAGAATACACAAGTGCCTGTAATTAGCTATTTAATGTGAGCAAGCAAACAAGTACATTTTCAAAATCAAAAAAAAAAAAAAACCAAGATAAAAATAGACAACAAATTGAGGTCAACACTCTCACCATCTCATGCCCTGTATCTCCTCCTCCTACTCTGGCTGTGATACGCCTCTGAGGCACATCTACAGTAAACACAAATGACCTTTTCTAAGAACGTATCAGTTGAAACTTCTCGAAAAAGTTTGGAAAGCCAAGGATTAATAATTTCAAGTGCCAAAAGTGTCATCCACACTACCCTTTGGTCATATTTGAACCTAACAGATACAGTACTGAACACATTGAACAAGGTGATTTAGGTCTCAAGGCAGATTCATGAAAATCATATTTCTTATTTCAGTCTCTGCTTTCCAGTGATTCTGTCATCAATGCAACACTGAAGTCCACATCACATTGGGATATGCTTTCTGAAATAGAATTACCTTCTGTTTCTTTTCTACATTACTGTGATCTCTACTTCTAAATCTCTATTTTCTTAAGCAAAGAAATTTAAGCTATCTCATGAAAATAGGATATTTGGTTTAACAAGTGAATTTGTTGTTTAAAAACTCTACTAACAGGGTTTTGGGGTTTTTTTGTGTGTGTATGTGTGTGTTGTTTTAGTTTTCCTATTGCTACAACTACTACTTAATTTTGATTTTGAGATGTTTCTTTTATCTTGCACTCACATTTTGTGGTTTTCTTTCCTTTTGTTGAATCTAATGAATCAACTTTTGCAACCATTTTTCCTTTTTTACTCTTGGGTTCTTTATTTCAAACTGAACTTTTTAGTCTACCATTAAGTAGGAAAAATCATTAATACTTTCTTACACTTAGAAAAACAATAATGCTGCTTAATGGTGAAGAGTATGGTCTTTGAACTGAGCTCAAATGCTGACTCCATCATTGTGAGGTCATGAAAATGTTGCTGTATTTCAAGACTTAGTTTTCTTAACTTTAAAATGGTAACAATATTAATGCCTACTTACTAGTGTTGTGAGGGTAATAAATTTACACAGAAAAGGCACAATGCTAAGGGTGATTAGTCTTCTACTTGTTACCAAATTCACAGGATATCAAAACATTGGTTAGACAGAATGTGAGGCGATCAAGTACTTATCAACACTTGATTACTGTGTTCTGGAAGAAAAATAGAAGTGTAGATAATATACAGCAAAACATTTCCAAACCATTTCAACTGAATATTGGAATGTATTGGGTCATTTCACCACCAGTGATTCCAATTCTTCAATTTATATTTCTAAAACACACACTAATAGGCAGGAGTAGAATCTGGACCAAGTAGAAGAGGCCACCCACCTTTTTTTATCCTTATTATTACATTGTCTGTGGTGCATTTACAAAGTACATGACACACATAACAAACTGAAAAAGTCAGTAAATACATAAGGTATAGCATGTTCTGTCAGCTTGGTCAGAGCGAACTTACCTGTGGGTCTCCCTAATAACAGAGTGAGAAAAATGGCATGAAATAAACTCAAGCCCCGGATCTTACTACTGATAAAAGCACAATGATAGTAATTTTAACTATTGTAGTGATAATTATTCATTAAGTTTCATTCTAATCATTAAGTAGAATTTTTTAACTTTCTAATTAAAATAGATTCTATAAAGGAGGTCAGCTAAACTAAAAAGTCACATTTTAATCTAGGATTCAAAGAAAACTTCATAAAAGGTAATAGAAATGGTGTCATAGTAGCAAGATGAGGTGCATAATTTACCCAAAGGCACCCATTTTTATAGGAAAGTGGTTTTAGAGAGACTATGACACAAACCAAAAAGTCAATATTAGCTTTAAAAAGGCAGAAGCTCTCAACTCGCTGGTGATTGTTGTCTTTCCTTCAATGAAGAATAACACTTCAATGCCAGAGTAATGGAAGGGTATTATTGCGAATACCAGGAAATTTAGATGGACTCATTTTCCATTAATAACAACATGTAAATTGAAAAAGAGGAGAGTGAACACCTCCTTAATCACCCAAGTTCAATTGTTTATCTAAATAGCTTAAGTCCATACCCCATCCTCAAGGGAATTAGACCAGGTCTCTATGCACAGTTGCCTAATTGGACATTTTGTCCCCACTCCCACCCAGACACTCCTCCTGCTTAAATGCCTGAAAGCATGATTATAGAGAGACTGAGACCTCTGGACCAGGAGTCAGCAGGACCTGGATTCTCTTCTCTGCTCTGCCAGAGGGACTTACATCCCCTGTTTCTCAATATCTTCGCCTGGAAAATGACATAGTTGAACTTAGCTGATCTGCTAAGGTAGAATAATGGACACTTCCCCACCTTTGAAATATGTGAAAAGCAGATTTGATATCAAAAATGTATTTTTACAGCATCTTAAGACATTAAAATTTGGTACCTACCTGTTGAGGGAGGGTGTCACTTAACTTGAAGTATTAAAACAAGAATGTGCAGTCATCTATCTGAAGAGCACTTACTATTGTAGTTGTTTGACTTCAAATAAAACAGAGTTTAGTTAATATGTGTAAATGGTATTTCCCTATATTTGAAAAAAAAACTTCAAAATTAAACATTTCCCTAATATCAATTCAGACATTCTTACCTATCATGTTATTAAAATACTGAATAAGGAACTGCACTCCTAAACTTTTGGCACGCAAGAAAAACCTCTACATGATAGTTGCACTGTTGTCCGATTATTCTGTAGCTTTTCTATGAAGTAAATAATACAGATTCCCAAAGTGTGTGCAGGGGAGGAGGAAGACTAGGATATGCCATTTTAAAACTCCTTTTTTTTTTTTTAAGATTGTACTTATTTGTTCATGAGAGACACAGAGACACAGGCAGAAGGAGAAGCAGGCTCCTCGCAGGGGGCCCCATGCAGGACTCAATCCCCAGACCTGGGATCGCCCTGAGCTGAAGGCAGACAGCTCAACTGCTGAGCCACCCTTAAAACTACTAGCAAACTAACTCATTTTAAAAGTAATGATCTTCTTCTTCTTCTTCTTCTTCTTCTTCTTCTTCTTCTTCTTTTTTTCAGGCTTCACAGCTCGGTCCGTTTTAACTCCTTTCATTCCAAATCCCAGATACACTCTCTCTCCTTCACTCCTTGCCCATCCCCAGACTTTCCAAACTCCCTCCCCCCCCCCCCCCCAGGAGCGCTCCTTACCCTCTTCCACCTCTTTCCCAGGCCACATCGCCACTACCTGCGCCCTTACCTGTCGGCGCTGAGGGCAGTGAGAGTGAACACGGAAACCCCCACGGAGGTGAGCTGGATGACGGGGATCAGTTTGCAGCCCACCTTCCCGAACATCCACTCGTCAAAGAAGTAGCGCGACGCGTCCACCGGGACGCAGGTGAGCAGCAGCAGCAAGTCCCCGGCGGCCAGGTTAGAGATGAAGATGTTGGGGACGCTCCTCATGGCGCTGGTGGTGATGAAGATCTTCACCAGCATGATGTTGCCCAGCAAGCCCACGGCGATGATGAGCAGGTAGAGGGACGGGATCACGCAGCGGATCGCGAACTTGGCGCCGGTCCCGTCGGAGGCGGGCGGCAAGTCCCGGCCGGACACCCCCGGGACCCAGCCGCTCTGATTCTCGCCCGCGGCCTCCGAGAGGTTGCAAAGCGCCTTGGGGGGCATGGTCTCCTTCTCAGGAGAGTCCGCTGGAGTTTCATGCGCCCAGGTGCCCTGCAGTGTAACACACTCTTGGGCTTAATCAATGTCCCTCTCACAGGGACAGGTTCCCCGCCTGGGGGGAGGGGGGGCAGTGGTCACACTGCCCCGCATCCCAAAGAGGCCCGGGACTTGGTGAGAAGTCTGTCCACGCTCTGGTGCTTCATCTCTGGAAGGGGCACATTGGCGCCTGCTGGTTCCAAATTAAAAAAAAAAGATAAAGAAAAAAAAGAAAAGAAAAAAAGGCAAAGCAGTTGCGTCTTTGTGCTAATCCTCAGTGGTTTATTTTCTTTACAGCTAGCGGAAAACAGTCCTTCAGTGAACAAAGATTTATCCCTCCGGAATTAATAAAAGTACCTGCTGGACAGTTCCCGGGGAGGCGAGGAAGTGATCCCGTAGCTGCCCAACGAAGCGCAACTGAAACCCTGGGGAACCAGCGGAGGGGCGGCTGGCACTTTCTGCAGTTCCTGCTGTCGCGTGTGGAATTGGAGGGGATCTGATTCCTCTCACTCTGCGCCCCTACATAGTTACAGTCCTACCCGCCTCCGAGCGGGAGGAGCCCCAGACAGTTTGCCAACCTCAGAATTCAGGGGCTGGGCTAGTAAGGCCCTGGAACTCTGAATTTAGGAAAGAGAATGAGAGACAAAAGGATGGAGTAAATGAATGGAATTCCCTCTTCATTCTTCCTTGGCCCATTTTTTTCACCCCAAATATGGAAACTCTTTCCAACAGCTGGCATATTAGTTTTAAACTTATTTTTATTGGAATACAGTACGCATAAGGTATGCAATTCTTGAATGTACAGCTTAATCTAACCACCATTCAGAACCTACAATCTAACCACTGTCCCTTGAAATGACACTATTTATTCTGCCTTTTGTCATCTAAGATTAGTTTGCTGGTTTTGAGCATCCTATAAATGGAAACTTAAGGTATTTAATCTTGTGTCCGGTTTCTTAGCATTATATATGTGAGACCCCTTTGTGATTCCTGTGTGTGGTATTTTTCATTGTCATATAGTATTCCAGTATAAACATACCACTGTATTTTGAGTCTTGATAGTTTTAGCTAATCTGGCCAATGTCTCCATAAGTATTCTTTGCCTGTCTTCTGGTGTGCATTTGGATAAATTATATATCCAAATATATTATATATCCAGTATATTTTTTAGGTAAGAATGATTGAATATGTTCAATGTTAGCAGAAATGGACAATTTTCCAAAATAAATTCCAACTTTTTTTCTTTTGGAAACTTGCTGGACAATATCTACTAAGGCTGAACATACGAGTGCCTATGACTGAGCAATGCTAACCTTAAATATAGTCTCAATACATAAATAATGCACTATTTTTTAGTTTCAGGTTTACAATTGCTGATTCAGCAATTCTATACATTACTCAGTGCTCATCATGGTAAGTGTATTCTTTAATCCCCATCACCTGATACACTATTTTAAATAGGGTAGTCCCAAAACCAAAATGACTTTCCAAATTAACACCATCTAAGTTTAATGTAAACTTCTCAGAAGGGCACAATTCTGAAGTTAGTCAAATAACATCTTCATTAGGAAAAATAAAAAAAAAGGAAAAATATAAGGCTGGTTCTTGGTTCTTAAGGATAAAATTGCGTGAAAAAAATAAAATTAGTCAAGAACTACCTATAATGGGGCAGCCCTGGTGGCACAGCGGTTTAGCGCCGCCTGCAGCCCGGGGTGTGATCCTGGAGACCGGGGATCAAGTCCCACGTCAGGCTCCCTGCATGGAGCCTGCTTCTCCCTCTGCCTGTGTCTCTGCCTCTCTCTCTCTCTGTCTCTCATGAACAAATAAATAAAATAAAATAATTTAAAAAAAAAGAACTACCTATAATGATCAACATAAGCTGATGAAATGTGCCAACCTATTTCTAGAATGTAAGCAATTTTTCAAGTATTTCTGACCAATAACAGCGTTTAATTACCATAGGCTCACTAGACAAGATAAACATTTGCTCTATAGTCAATTTTATGTTTATTAACTTGATTATAAGTCTGTCCTTAACATATTCTTCTTGATTTCATTATTTAATTTGTTATTAGGTCACGGTTGGCTAAATAAAATAAGTTTGGATATATGTATATAATCACTTTTATATATCAGATATATAGGCAATTAATAGCACATATAAGTTGAGAATGTCTCTAGGAATTTTATCTTCAAAGTTTTTTAAATTTTATCTCTTAACATCCAATCTTATTATGCAAAGTAAATTAACTATGAAAGCAATCTTCTACATTATGAAATCTCCCATTTTCAAATTGCAACTATCCCATTCTAACCTATTTTATATAAAAACATATTTTAGTCTAAGTGGTTGTACAAAGAGACACCTGCATGGCTTAGTTTGCCTTTGGTTTAGGTCATCTCAGGGTCCTGGTAAGGAGCCCGTATTGGACTCCCTGCCCAGCTGGGAGTCTGCTTCTCCCTCTCTCTGCTCATGCTCTTTCTCTCTCTTTATATCTCTCAAATAAATAAATGAAGTCTTTAAAAAATAAAAATAATAAACAAATTGCTGTATGAAAATCTGTATTCTCCTCTGTGTCTGATAATGCTAAGCATTTAGATGAGAAAAATGTTTAGTCTGAACACTGAATTACTAAATGTCCAATTGCCTGGTATTGTAGAAATAAGACATCTAGATTACAGAATTTTTGCATTTTAAGTGGATCCATATATATTTACTCAAAGTCTTAGGTTCATGAGATTGGAGAGCGTAATGAATCCTTTAATAATAATAGCCTTACTGATTTTTTATTAAAATATTATAAAGTTATTATAATTATGTATGTATTACTTAGATATACACCAAATTACGTATAAGTGTATAGCTATTGTCTCATTTGCATAAGATCAACCCATCAGAATAAACATCTGCTGAAAGGATAAATTTTTTTATTATACTCAATGCTCTATGCATCGCATTAGGTTCCTTAGAGTTATATGTTATTTAATATTTATATGTGTTCTATGAGGTACATTTTTGAGTCTTAATTTTACATATGAGATGATCAAAACTCATAGAGGTAAGATAACTTGCTTAATTTCCTAAAGACTTTAGTAAAACTGTATTTTGAAATTTATTCGACTTCAGTCTACTGTATCTCATTGTTCTAGGAGAATGAAATTGCATGAAAAAATGTGATTTCTATATACTTGAAAGATACATTTTTAATATTGAAGTATTCAATGTTTATAAAATACATATTATACATTTTATTGCCCTAACCTGAGCAAAATCTATTCAGAAGTATATTAAACAGTCCTTGTTGTTTAAAATTCATGCAAATAAGATGCATTCACAACCAAAAAAAAAAGAAAAAAATTGTCAATGGAAACTAAACCAATAATGATACAGATGATACAATAAATAGATAAGGATATTAAAATTGTAACTTAAAATGTAACGAAAACCTTATACCATGTGTTCAAGAAGGAAGAAGAAAATATTAGCATTAACATAGAGAAATGGTGAATATAAAAAGACATTGAATTTCTACAGAGGAAAAAGCAATGTGATGGGAAACAAATACTATAGGGTTAACTGCAGAAGAAATCAGTGAGCTTGAAATATAGTAATAGAAAATTTTTAAAATATTTATTTATTTATTTATTTATTTATTTATTTATTTATTTATTTATTCATGAGAGAGGTAGAGACATAGGCAGAGAGAAAAGCAGCCTTCTTGCAGGGAGCCTGATGTGGGACTCGATCCCCAGATCCAGGATCATGCCCTGAGCCAAAGGCAGATGCTTAACTGCTGAGCCACCCAGGCATCCCTAGTAATAGAAATTATCCAAAATAGAATACTCAGAGAAAAAGCTGAAGAAAACAACAACAAAAAAGGAACAGGGTATCAATGCACTGTAGAAAACAGTCAATGGCCTAATCTTTCTGTAATTAGGTCCTTAAAGGACAGGAGAGAAAGAAAAAATTAAAGTAATGGCCCAGCATTTCTTTCAAGTTTGATGAAAGCAAATCCCAGGTAGAAGAAACATGAAGAAAATTCTACCAAGAAGGAACACTGGAAGCTTTCCCAGTAAGATCGGAAACAAGAAAGGATGTTTTTTCACTGCTTTTATTACACATTTTACTGGAAGTCCTAGCAATGCAATAGGACAAGAAAAGGACATGAAAGGTATACTGATTAAGAAGAAGGAAATAAAACTGTCATTGTTCCAAAACATGGCATGATTATTTATGTAAACAATCCATAAAATTCAACAGAAAATCTCCTGCAACTAAAAAGTTATTATAGCAAGGTTGCAGGACACAAGGTTAATTTACAAAAGTTAACTGGTTTTTTTATATACCAGCAATGAATAAGTAGAATTTGAAATTAAAAACAATACCATTTACACTAACACTCCTATAATAAAATACTTGTACAAATCTGAAAAAATATATACAAGATCTATATGAGGAAAACCATAAAACTCTGATAAAAGAAATCACATAAATAAAGGAATAAAATAAATAGAAAGATAATCCATAGTCGTGGATAGAAAGACTTAATATTTTTAAGATATCATTTTTTCCCAATTTGACCTACAATGCAATATTAATCAAAATCTTAAGTCTATTTGTGAATATTGACAAAGTTAATCTAAAGTTTATATGGTAAAGCAAAAGACCCAGACTACCCAACAGAATATTGAAAAAGAATGAAGTCAGGGACACCTAGGTGGCTCAGCAGTTAAGCATCTGCCTTCAGCCCAGGGCGTGATCCTGGAGACCCAGGATCGAGTCCCATGTGGGGCTCCCTGCATGGAGCCTGCTTCTCTCTCTGCCTCTCTCTGTGTGTGTCTCTCATTCATAAATAGATAAAATCTTTTAAAAAATGAAGTCAGAGAACTTACACTATCTGACTTCAAGATTTACTATAGAACTACAGTGATCAGGACAGTATGGTATTGGCAAAAGAATAAACAAA